ATTTCGGTCATGATCTGCTTTGAATGTATATGTCACTCAAATATGAACGGAACGGGGACGTGTCATTGACAATGACTTGTTAATACATAATTTTGTTTTGAGAAACTATGACTGGAGCTATTTCATCGGTATAGTAATAATTAGTATATAATTGCCTCACTTTATTCTAGATGTGTGACAGTTGATCTGATATCGATTGTTGAATAATTGTATACTAAAACAATGCCTCTAATTGATTTTAATATCTTTCAAACTTTGAATGCATTTCACCCGTACCGTAACACAGGTAGAAACACCGATCATTCTCGCAATTCGTATTACTACTACAGACTTGAATTTTACAAATAATAAACACGCCATGTAAAATATGATACAAACACTGATGAGTGTAGTAGGGTCGGGTGAGAGTGAGACATCTCGAGTATGTGGTAAATTTTTTCAGGGTTGGTGCCAACTTTGTTAATGTTTGTATGTCTTTGCTCGTTTCCGTGGAATATGCGGGGTTTCATGAATGGATTTTTTGTTTGTTTGTAGAATATCTGTATAATTGAAATTGTCGCAATTTATACGTAAGTACCAAAGTGTTTGCTTTCTAAAAAACTATTGGGGAATTGTATGACATCATGCCCGTTGAGTCATTTATGTTTACATTGCGCCCTCTCACGGTGGTGTTTAAATACAGTCCTTCGAGATTGGGAGCGGGAAATTAATTAGTACACAAGTATAATTGTTAGACTGATTCCAACATCGTCACTACTCGTCGCGTGCGCTACTGTGACGCCACTATAGACGACCGTAGGATGATGCGACCCGGTGTATCATGCTACGTTTCAAATAAATAACCGTTGATGGCAGCATACACTAACTGGAATTATGTTTTATACTGAACTGTGACAGCCAGCCGGGGCGATGCGGAATTCGGACTGGAAAACGAGTCTAGGAAGATTTGTAACATGATAAATTCAATCAATGTGTCGATTACTTTAGTATTATTTTCTTATTGGTAAATTGTTTAAACCAAGAACTTCGTATTTATCTTGTTTTGATTGAACCAGGCGGTCTTTCGGACCATGTAGGTGTGATGAATTTGTTTTTGCGTATCTGTTAATCGATTTAATTAATTGATTACTAACGAATTGCTGTGCTATGTCTGTCATCGTTTAGGTCTATGCGAGGTCCTGCACGGAAATTGGCTCAGTGATTTGGAACTAATTACGAGATAACCGTCGCTATTCTGACTACTATTTCTGACAGTTTGGCATTTGCAGTTATTAATATAGTGAAGATTAATCAAAAGATATGACGTATTCAGTACTTAGTGTGATTGGCTTTATGATTGAAGGCCACGCCTTAGAGTCTTTATACTGCTTTGTAATTGGTTAAGATTTTGAAAGTGAATAAAGTTGTTTTGAGTTGGTCTTGGCGAGTACACGAAGACAGACGCAGTCCAGTCCTGGAGAGTCTTGGAGCGAGTCTTGACGCAGTCTAGAGGCAGTCTTGGGTCAGCCTTGCGATAGTTTTTGGGACTTTTCCCCAGGGCGTTGTGTCTTATATAGTGCTCGACTGACCGACTAAGACGAGAGTTGAAACGTATTTCGTTGTGTGTGTCTTATGTGACTGTAAAGTTTAAGTGACTTTCCCGATCCCGTACCTCAAAGGGACGCGACAGAGAGACGAGACGAGATTCCCCCCTGGCGCGTGTGGAGAACTCGAGGAGAAGAAGAATTTACCCCTGATATAGGTACAAATAGTTACCTCCATGTTCGGACCAATTTAAATTTCGCTACTTTCGGGAGATATATGATTACAGACTTTGAATTTTATATTAATTGGAGCATTTTTAGTTCTGAAATGTTTTGTGATTTGTGTTATTAAAATCACAATTCACATTGGTTTGCCACATGTAGCCCGTATGATCTGTGGCCATTTAAGTACATATATGTATTTAGTTTCAATGCACATTAAAATCTCGTTATGTAACTACCATTTTTCCACCAGGACTAAAGAAGAATTTGACATTTGTTTCAACTATCACCAATAACCCACCAATTCCAACTACTGGAGGTAGATTCTCTAATTACAGTATTTGGAGAATTTACCAGTTTATATACCCGGGAGGGGAGGGGGCTATATAGAACTTGCCTAATGGGGACGTGCCTCTGAAATGGGTCTAATTTTTTGGGTTTCAGGTATAAGTATCGGTCTTATTTCTGGTCAAGATAGGTATAAATATCGGTTATATTTTTTCCCATTTGGTATACTTATGGGTCCGTTTATGGCCAAAATACAAAGTTTAATACAAATAAAATCAATATACAATGCAACTGTTGGCTTACATGTATTTCTATTGGAGATGCTCTTCTTATAGAGCAAATACGGTAACTGTTATATTCAAGTTTGGAATAAACAGTGATGACAGAAATGGTACTTTAGTATAAATATGGGAATAGATTTTGCCACTATCCAGGTATAAAAATGGTCACACTTTTGAGCACTCAGGGGCACCTCCCTATCCAGCTATGTATCAACTGCCCCCAGATATATATACCAATG